TATTTGGCTCATCCTCCAGTAATTGCACCACCCTCTAAAGAAAGACAATTGAAGTTGTATATTTCAGCTAATGATTCGACCATTGCGGGCATGCTGGCGCAAGATTATGATAATGGCATCGAAAAAGTCATTTATTACTTAAGTCGACTGTTAGTGGGAGTTGAAAATATATATACTCCTTTAGAGAAATTGTGTTTAACTCTTTATTTTGCTTGTACAAAGTTGAAGTACTATCTTAGACCCTTTGATGTTTTAGTATTTTGTCGAAGTAATGTTATTAAGTACATGTTGTGTAAACCTGTCTTACATTCTCGAATTGACAAATGGGCGCTTGCATTAACTGAATATTCATTAACTTTCAAGCCTTTAAAATCTACAAAGGGAAAAGTAATTGCGGATTTTCTCGTGGATCATTCGAAAATAACTGAAGAAATCAATTACATAACAACCAAACCTTGAGAATTATTTTTCGATGGCTCGAAACATGACTTAGGCACTAGGATAGGTTTGTTAATCATTTCCCCTGAAGGGATTCCTACCAAATTATCACTAGAAACTAACAAAGGATACTCAAATAATGAAACTGAGTATCGAGCACTCATCACTGGACTCGAGATCCGTAAAAAGTTAGGGGCTAAGAATGTAGTAGTTCGAGGCAACTCTCAACTTGTCATTTTACAATTAACTCAGGAGTATAAATGTTCAAACGAGAAATTGATCCAATGCAAGACTCGAGCCATTCAGTTGTTAAATACCTTCGATGAGGTCGAATTAGAAAACATTTCTCGAAATGCAAACTCAATTGCAAATGAATTGGCTCAAATCGCATCAGGGTATAAAGTGAGTAAAGGATGTCTCGAATCTCTGATTCATACGGAGAATGAACTAATATGTCATCTAGAGAGTCTAAGTATTAGCTCATCGAGCCAGCAAGATTGGAGGAAAGAATTAGTCGAATACCTGCAAAATCCGAATTTGAAAGTCGAAAGAAAAATCAAACTCCAAGCCCTTAATTATGTCATGCTGAATAACAAATTATACAAGAGGGGTTTCGATGAAATTTTATTTAAATGCCTTGGGGATCATGAAAGTTATATAGCTATGGCAGAAGTACATGAAGGTATATGTGGAGCACATCAAGTAGGTGAAAAAATGAAGTGGACTTTGTCGAGGAAAGGGTACTATTGGCCATCCATGATTAAGGATTGTATCGAATTTGCAATGAGCTGTGAGGAATGTCAAAAACATGGACCAATACAAAGGGTACCAGCAAGTGAATTACATTCGATTATTAAACCTTGGCCATTTCGAGGTTGGGAAATTGATATAATAGGGCAAATTCATCCACCCTCCTCGAAAAATCATAAATATATATTAGTTGTCATAGACTATTTCACAAAAATGGGTTGAGGCAATTCCTTTTGAAGGAAGTCGAGAAAAAAGACATAATTGATTTTGTTGAAGACCATATTATAATAAGGTTTGGAATTCCTCAAACCATTACTACTAATCAAGACACAGTTTTTACGGGTCGAATGGTTGCTCAATATGCTCAATTGAGAGGAATTAAATTAGTAACCTCGACACCGTATTACGCACAAGAAAATGGACAAGTAGAAGCTGCTAATAAAATAGTTATCGGTTTAATTAAGAAACATATCTCGAGCAAGCCTCGAAGGTGGCACGAAACACTTGTCCAGGTTTTGGGGGCTTATAGAAATTCACCAAGAGATGCCACAAAAACTACCCCATATAAGTTGGTGTATGGGCATGAGGCCATTCTTCCTATAGACATTAATTTGTAATCAATTCACATACAGAAGCAGAATGATTTGCCTATCGAGAATTATTGGAATTTAATGTATGATGAGTTGGTATCTTTGGAGGAAGAAAGGTTAATGGCGTTGCAAAATCTTGTTCAACAAAAGGAAAGGGTCGAGAAAACATATAATAAGAGAGTCAAAGCGCAGAATTTTCGAGTTGGAGATTTGGTGTTAAAAGTAATTCTTCCCATGGATCAAAAATCTCGACACTTGGGCAAGTGGTCTTATAATTGGGAAGGACCCTTTATAATTAATCAAGTGTATTCGAAAAATGCATACGTGATCAAAGAAATAAATTCTAATGTAAGCAAAGTAATTAATGGTAAATATTTAAAGTGCTTCCATAAAAGACCAGAGTTGTGGTGAAACAAATATAGAAAACAACAAGAAATTGACATGCTCTTAAATTTAATCAATATTACAAAACTTGGATTTAAAACTTCTATAAGCTTGATAACCATCATCCAAGTTCTGTCTTCGAGAAGCACATTGAGTCTCTAAGTGTTTCTTCTGCTCCAAGGTTTTTGCAAGTCTCGAAGAGATCACCTTGCCTTCCTCCTTGAGACTCTTTTGACGCTGAATGACCTCTTGAATTTGAGTTTTTAAAGCTTGTTTTTTCGAACGGAAGTTATTCAACTCATGCTGCAGAGCCTCAATAGACTTTTTGACATCTTCTTCCTGTTGCAATTTCTTCAAAGCAGGAATCATTTCTTCAGTTGATTTCCTGATGGAGAGCAACTCTTGTCGAAGATTCTCGAGCTTGGCACGGTCTCCCTCGCTCTCGACTTCAATTTGGGCCACTTCTTGAAATGCAATAGACCATTTAGATCGAAGATCCCAAGCAAGGGTGAATGGCTTGATAAATTCTTGAAGCTCGAGGTGAATCTCAAGAGGAAGGTCTGAGTAAGCCAGCAAATCATCCACCATCTGCTCGACTTCGATTTTAAATTCTGGAATGAGGAATGCTTGATCGAGGTCATCTACATAGGCCTTCGACCTGAAAGATTCGAGTAGAGGCTGAAAAGTAGGAGTTGACTTAGAAACTAGTTCAGGAGCCTTCTCCGAGATACAAGGACCACTTGTCCAATTGTCAAGAACGTCAAAAATATTGTTGACTTCTTCATCTTCTTCATTGAAAAAACTAATTAAGTCCAAATCAGTTGAAGGGATCGAAGAAAGTGCTAGTACTGAAGATTCGACACCACCTTGGGTCGAAGGAGAAGGAGTAAAGGGCTTGGGAGAATCAGTGGAATCTGCATAGATAGAAAAGAGTAAGAAAAAGTTCCTTTCAACAATTGGTAGTGATTAATAAAAGAAGAAACATACCACAATCTGGGCCAATTGGAGGTTTAAGCTCGAAAGAAGGAGCTTCATCTTGAGAGGATTGGTGAAGAGTTTCTGTGTTCACCAAAGGTTCCGACGAAGGAACCTTCCCCTCATCACTTTGAGGAGGAATCTCTATTGAAGCCACCTCGACAATGTTCAATTGAGGAGTGGCCAACTGCAAAAAATGGTGAAGTTAGAAGAAGGAAAAAGTATAAAAAAGTAAAGATCGAAAAAAATCGAATCTGCTGTGATGCCCTAGTAAGAGGGGGAATATCCCTAAAGATTTCCCGAGAAGAATCGAGTTGGATTATCTCGACATCTTGTAATTAAAGAAAAATTTTAGAAGAAGAATTGAAGCAATATGTAAGCGAAAAGCTAAGCTAGAAATTTAATACTTTGGGAATGGATTTCATAGCATCCTTGAGAAGTTTCTCAACAGGAGGCTTTTGAGTCTTATTGGGAAGAGGAATCAGTAACTTCCCCTTCCCTTTGTCTGGCTTTTTTGTGGTCGAAACCTGAAGAAGCAAGAAAGTAAGAAAAAGAAAAATATAAAAGAATAAATATAAATCACTCACAGTCTTGGTACTGGTCGAGTCATCTTTTTGCTTCTTCGTGGTCTCAAGACTCTGGAAATAGAAAAACACTTAGAAAAGGTACTATTGTTACGTTAATCGAAAGAATTAAGTTGAAAGGAAAAAATTATACCTTAGAACGTAAGGAGGCTTTATCAGAAGCAGTTTTTCTTTTTCGAGTCTTCAATGAAGACCCCTTATCATCATCCTCATCACTTTCCCAGTTGGGAGTCTCTTCAACATGTTGAGGAACACACTGAGGAATAGCAACTACATAACATAAGGCCAAAGATGAGATAAGTACAAAATGGAATTCGACAATTTTATTTTTTTAGGTAAAGACATTTACCAAGAGGAGGATTGGTATTATCGACCCAAGACAATGGCCACCATCTCCTTCGAGGAAAATCGTACACGGAACATCTCGCATAAGTAACTTGATCCTTTACAGGAATCTCTTTGCGCTCAAGGTAAAATGGGTCAAGTGTCTTCACCCAAGGAGGGCGAGATAAATGTTTAACTAAATCAAAACGAGCATTTGGAAGAGAAGGAATGTTTTTAGGACAAAATTTTTCAAAATCAGTTTTTCCTCGAGGAATAATCACCTTTTTTCGAGCGGATGTTCCTTTGTACCATTTTCGATAAAGAGACAGATGCATCAAAGATGGTTCGACCAATATTGTCAGGTCGATAACAAACTTTAAAAAATTGCTCGAATTGATAAATAATGGTTTTGTTCTTGTAAGTACCTGATTGTTTCGGGCCCTACGAAGAAAGAGGAGAGTTAATCAGCTTCTTCAAAAATTCATCAAAGTTGAGAATTTTATCAACATAGTATTCACACCACCATCGAAGAAAACACTTCGAGACTAAGAAAGAAGGGGAAAAAGTGAAAGGTGTGAGTCTAAGTTGTTTCTCAGGACGTAAAATAAAATTCAAAACTTCCTTATAATTTCCTTTCTCGACACAAATATCAGCGTCAATACTTTCTTTTCGTCGAAGAGGAAGGGACTTCATCTGGCAAAGACCAAATTGTTGAGAAAAAATCTGGAGTTGGTAAGGGTAGATCTTAACATCTTTTTGTCTCATTCCGGAGATTATTACATCCACTACTAAAAAAATACTATTTTACATCGGTTAACATAAAACCGATGTAAAAATAAAATAAGGTGGTATTTTTGTAAATAAGCGTAAAAGGTCAGTAGATTTACATCAGTTACACGTAAAAACGATGTAATGTATGATGTTTTACATCGGTTATCCGATGACCGATGTAGTGTCTCGGGATCAAATCGTGCGCAACTAAACCCTTTGTACATTGTCACAAATCCCTAATCCTGTTCTCCCCCTTCTACCTAATCGTTCTCTCACATGCAACCAAACCCAAACCCAAGAGGTGATGTAATGGGATAGTGAAAGTGGGTAGCCACCTTCTACACGGCGTCGACCTACAACACTGTGAGGAAGCCGTTCTGCTTGACGATCGCCTCTACAAAGACGAGGTTGTTGGTCTTGATGACCTCCGTGCAGATGTTATGGACAAGGCGGATCCCATTCTCTTCAGAGTCTACGATGATGATCGCTCGTGTTGACTTGGAGGGTTTGAGGCGCTTGTAAGGTCAGGCTATTGCAGCTTCGACATTAACTCGATGGTGGGTTATTTTTATATATAAGTATGTTTGTGCATTATTTTCATACCAACTATTTTTCCCTCTTCTTATTCTCTGGTTTTACAGAATCAAAGCCTACCATTAAAGTGAAATCCCGTGAGACAAAGTAAAATATAAATTTTTATTTGTAAAGAAAAGAAGCACACCATTGTTAGTTTGAGAAACATAGCAACAGAGTTCAATGGGGAAGAGAATGTTTCATGGGGTGGCGTTGATGCTGTTGTTTTTGTGGGTTTGTGGTGTCACTACCTTTGTGACTTATGACCACAGAGCCATTATAGTTGATGGCAAGAGAAGAATTTTGATCTCTGGCTCCATTCACTACCCAAGAAGCACACCCCAAGTACTCACTCCACTCCAAATTTCCATCATGCTGCATCAAATTTTGATTTTTTTTATTCACTTTTTTGTTGCATTTGTTTTGGTTTTTCATCCATGCATGCATCATAAATCATGTTTGTTTACTGCAGATGTGGCCAGACCTTATTCAAAAGGCCAAAGATGGAGGCCTTGATGTTATTCAGACTTATGTGTTCTAGAATGGACATAAACCTTATCCTGGAAAAGTAATGCAAATACATTTCAATAATTTTTATTTTTATTGGCTTTTCTAGCTAGTCTCGTGTATCCTAATAAACCATGGTTCTAATTCTTGTCGGGAGATGTTTAGTTTAATGTATGGTCGGAATAGTTATGCCCTTTTAAGGACCATGCTTGTGAAAAAAAGAATATGTCTAATCTTTGTTTTTTTGTTTACAAATAAAAAGTTTAAAGTGAAAATTTCTCATTGAGTTTTTATGTAATGTTGAAAATTTTCAATACTATTTTGAAGATAGGTATGACTTGGTTAAGTTCGTGAAGCTGGTGCAGCAAGCAGGCCTTTATGTTCATCTCTGTATTGGTCCCTTCATATGTGCTGAATGGAACTTTGGGCAATGATTTTAACGATGTAAATGTACACCTTCTCTAGGGAAGGGGAAAATTCTTTGGTATCAAAAGGAAAATAATGATTCTTAGGGATCTCTCAAAGGTCACATGATCTATTTTATGTTCAGGGGATTTCCTGTTTGGCTCAAGTATGTTCCAAACATTGCTTTCTGAACTGACAACGAGCCTTTCAAGGTTGGAGTTTTCATTTTGGACCCGCACTAATTCTAATTATTTTGCATAATATTATGGGTTGATTAAAACTAGTTTAATGAATTGTTGAATTGAATCATATAATCAACCATACAAAAATTTGTCACGATGTGTGTAGGCGGAAATGCAAAATTTCACAACTAAGATTGTTAACTTGATGAAAGCAGAGAGGTTGTTTCAATCCCAGGGTGGTCCAATAATTATATCACAGGTAAATTCAAGAGTGCATAACTTATTCATATTATTGATTTTTTTCACTCTTCATATTTCTTTACTATAAAGTTTATTTAGCCAATTAGAATAACGATGATGCTTAATTTAGTCTCTTTATTTTAATAATACATTTTAATTGATAGAAAGAGAACGAGTATGGACCAGATGAACGTCAATTTGGTGCACCTGGAAAAATTGATATTAAAGTGAAGGTTATAGAGATTAACTACTCTCATATATATGAATTTATTTGTATATTTACCATTTCGTATTTTCTTCAAAATTGTTGACTGTGAAATCGTTCTGTAGTTTTCTGATGATTTTGCAATTTTGCTCTTTCATTATGATGGTCGGACTAGTGAATGGGATCAATTTGAGTGGTCAAGGAATGCAATCCATATTAGTGCAAGGAAACAAGCAAAATGGTATAATTTTTTCCTATCATTTTTTTACATTTAACTTGTGGAAGTCGTCAGGATTGAGCATGGGAAGCCTATTTGTTTGTGATCATATTTAACTTTGGGGTTCTTAAAAGACCTTATCGTTATTGAGAGTGGTGATCTTTTTGCCTTACTCCTTTACTTTTATACAATTTTCTCATACTTGGTGTTGTGCAGGTGGTATGCTAAAAGATTTTTGCACCCTGATATAGTTTCAGCCTATGAATATATTTTTATTTGGGACGAAGATCTTGGAATAGAACACTTAATGGAAACAAGTATTATTTTTGTCTGTCTAGCTTGCTCATATTTGACACTGCAACTTTTAGTTTGATTAATTAACTCTATTCTATTCACCAGGTATATTAATTTAGTGAAAAAACATGGTTTGGAGATCTCTCAACCTGGTCTTGAGCCCAATAATGGATTGACATGGGAGATGACAAAAAGGAGGGGTGACAAAGAAGTTCACATGTATTCCTTTGCCCTTGCTTTCTTTCTAACTTTAGTCATTGATGTAATAAGGTGCTTTTTTTTATCATGTCTTCACGTGTTCCTAGTATTAACACATTTTTGTATGTGTTGGAAAATAGGATTACAGAAGAGAAACCAGGCTGGTGTAGCGATCCACATTTGCCTCCTTGTGCTGCGTATGCTCTCTATTCCTTTGTTCAAAGTTGAATTGTTGTATTGCATATGATTCAGGTATATTTTATATTCCTTATTTTTCTCTTGCATGATATATAATCGTAATTACACTGATTTACTTTTCAAATGTCTACCTGTAGAATGATCTAGTACATGGATGAGGATTGGACTTTGCTTTCAGAAGATGTGTAGAGGTCAGTAAATTCTGTTTATTTTTTCCTAATGTTGTGAGCTTGAACTTTGAATCCTTTTTGTTAGCCTTATTGATAGGTGGGTATGCTTTAGTTGGTCATACGTGCATATTTTCAAAAGAAGTTTGATGATCAAGAGGATAATGAAGATGATGAAAAATCGCCTTCAAAAGAGAAGTTCAAGACAAATGCTAAAGTGGTCCCACTCAAGAAGGATTACAATAAAAATTACAAAAAGAAGAAACCAATCAAAAAGAGAAAAGGCAGATTTTGAAACTCAAATTAGGTGATAAAGATATTCAGTCAAGGAAGAGTGTTGGGAATATGCCTAAATATCTTTAGGAGATTAAGTTAGTTTTTTATAAGAATATTTTATTTATATTTCAAATATTTAGATTTAATCTGTTCTGATTATTTTAAGATTTATTTCCTTATTTTAGAATAGGATAATATCAATATTTGATTTTGTATAACAAATTTTCTCTATAAATAGAGACTCATGAATAAAATTATAT